TACTCTAAAGGATCTAAGTAAAAATACAGTGACTAAATTGAAATTGTCAAATTTCATAAAATATGTATCTGTAAATGAAATGAATTTATGTATTGATTGTATTTAAAATTTCCCTGTCTGTTTACAGGAAAACTAGAATGTGTATGATATTCTGTTATTTTATTTCTTTGTATATATAAGTAACATATTTTTATGCATGCGAGTAACATGTGCTATATTTAACAAAGTATGTATTTTGGCTGGAGCGACTGGTACAGGAGGAGTTGGCATAATTTTAGCAACTTTTAAAAACACGGTAAGAGCAGCAGTTAGTGACTGTGTTGGCTTCTTCCAGCTTTGCCTGAAGTTCTTTCAGTTGCAGGAGTGGCAGCAGTTGTTAGAGTGACTTTGGTGTTGTTTATCATTCGGTCTGCACAAGAGTTCCCAGTTTGAATGGTCGAGGAGCATTGTTTCAGGAAGAATGATATATCCCTGAAGCTATTAGTGTGTGCCAATCCAGAATGGCAACAGCGGGAAGTCTCATCTTTAGATTTTGTGAAGTCCTACAATTCGTGAATTGATCCACATTTCACACAATGGGGTTATGCCTACACTGACTTTGACCATGGAAAAAGGATTGGTAGCGGAAACCCTGCGTGACTCCGTACTGTGCCTTCTATCATTTCACTTTCATTTGAAGACGCATAAGGTAGTTGATGTGGTGAATATTTCTTGATTTGTTTTTGACAGGATCATTTTGATAATTTCCAGTCCCTTTCTTTGCATCATTTAGATGACTTCTGATGACTTAAGGAACTTGATCCTCACTCTGACAGACGCCTTCTTCTATCAGAGCATCGGCAATATCCATGACAGTGGTATCGATGCGGAGACTGCGAAGTAGCACCTTGATATTTTTATCAGCGGCAAGCTGATATGAGTGAAATTTTCCTTGATTACAGTCTAGTAGAGCAATAACTTGTCAGGGAGCCTTCATGGAGAAAACCTTAACATGAAATTCATGCTAGACTTTAAAATCTTTAAAACCCAAGTCATCAAGTAACTTCGTGACGTTTTATCCGAGGAATAATACGAGTCCTCAACAGTGACGGGCAGAAGCTTGGAGCCCCTCCGTGGCTTGGGCGGATTCAGTCTCCTGTTCTAGCTGAGGAATTTCCTGCAGCTTGAATCCTGAAGCTTTGCTGATGTGATATAATTCCTTGGGAATTGCCTTGCGTTTTTGGTGTTTATTACTGTTCGAGACTGATTTTTTCTTTGCAGGCTGCTGGGAGTCTGCATCTTTAATAGTAACCCCATCATTTTCATCTTGAAGCGGAACAAATCTATTGCTTGTAGAAGATGAGGGAGAATTAGTAGGTCATCAGCACTTGTTTTTGATAATTTCAAAATCCATGCCGTCTGCTGGAGGCTGCATTTTCGTGAGAGTATAATTCTGGGAACAACTCATGATATTTTGGAAGTTCATCTGAGATGGGTTTCATGAACTTTTGGGTTAAATGCAAGAACATGGTCTCAGACTTATCCAGCATGTTATTTCCATGTTGGGTCTTTAGATCCATATTACAGGGTTGCCACTCAAACAGGAGAATGAAATTCCCTGACTTTTCCAGGTTTTCCAGGTGCGTTTCAAGAAAATTCCAGTCTATCTGCGTAATGTACGTTGGCTACGCTAAGAGGTAAATTATGGTATTACTTGTATTGTGTAGCAAATTCACTTAATTATTCAATAAATCCCAGAGGACATTTATTTTTAATTATTCTTGGTATACTTTGTTTGATAATTTTGTTTACTTTTCCACTTAAGAAACTTAATAAAATTTAAGATATATACATTGGATAACAAATGTATGTTTTATTTAATTATTACTCATGATCATCACCAGTTCAACACGAGGCTAATCCGGTCCTTATAAATCACAACGCAATGCTAAATAGTTAGGTTAGATTTTAGGTAAATTTAATTTGTGTGAGGTATGTTCTTAAAAGGCACCTTAACACTTGAAAACACAAATATAATAGTTGTTGTTTTCTCCACTGAAGATTGAGATTAGTATCTTCCCAATCTGGAATAAAATAAGGCTTTTTTTGCAGACATTCTGCAGCTAAACGAAAGAAAGAAATCTATTTTAATAAATTGAGGTATTTTATATTTATTTCGCAGCATACATAAGGAAAAAATATGTGTATTAAATTTCGTGATGGTATGTCATCATACTGCTAGAATTAATTTCAGGATTATGCCAGAGAAAATTTCCTGAAATTTGGAAATATTATTTACTAATAATAAATAAATTCAGAGGGAAGAAGCAACATTAAATTATATGAATAACATAAAAATAAAGAGAATTACTTAAAAATTGAATTAGAATAATCAACGATATTTTAGCGAATATAGTTATATTACATGGTTAGCCTAGATGACTGATTAATATTTTTTTATTTTACTGCAAAATGGCAAGGTATTTATTAAAAAGAAAAAAAAAAAAAAAAGGTTTAAAAAGATTTTGCGGTAAAATTCTAGTATACGGTAAGGCTTTGGCACGATTTTGAAAATTGTCGCCAAGACCAAAATGACCCGTTTTACTCTGCGCATCAAGATGTCGCCAAATCCCCATTATTATCTAACCAAAGAACGTCTATGTAAAGAAGAAAAGGTTCCATACAAGTAAAATGCTATTACGCCGCTAGAATGCGGAGGGAAAATTTGCCAAGGGATTTGGCGACGGAACCTGGCGGCCAGAATTTCCCTCTCCGCGATGTGTACAGGAAATTGAGAAACACGTGTTAAGAAGAAACGCTTTTTGACAAAAAGAAAACTACGAAAATCCGTTTTTAAATTATTGCGAAAAATCCAAGAAGAAACGTTTTATCAAAGGACGATTTTTCGCAATAATTTTAAAAACGGATTTTCGTAGTTTTTTTTTTTTTTTTTTTTTCCCTGAAAATAACTAATCCATGAATTAATTTACTTGCGCCAAAAAATATTTTCTTTTCCTTCAGAGTTTAACCACTTGCGCTAAGACTAAACTTCACGGTTGCGGTGCCGTGCGCTACAATATAACAAGCCGTAAAGTGTCTCATTTACGCCGCTCCGCATCTGCGAGTGCAATCCAGAGCTGTAACTCGAGAAATAAACAATCTCGTTGTTAGGCGACGTGTGCACCACGTTATTTTCATTTTTGCGATAAATGCTTATCCACGTGGTGTTCACGTCGCTCGCGGTTTGAGACAAAAGCATCTTGACATGCGTGGCACGTCTTTTTAGCGCAAGTGGTTAAAGAAATTTTAAACGATATTCATTTTATGAACTCTTGATAACGTGACTTTCGAGCTTTGGCCACAGATATATCAGACATGCACAGCTGTTTTACCTCTATGATGGAACGGAGCCACAGCCACGTCTGTTGCAGAGAGGTTTTCCTTCTTTACAATACATATTCTTTGATTCTAACCTCCATGGTACCGTATACTAGGATTAAACCCATTTTGTTTTATACGAGAACAGGTACTTTCTTTAGTTCATGCACTGCACATGCGATTCTCGAGAATATTGGAAACCAAAAGTTGCGGGAAAGTTGCTTTGCCTTTCTAAAAAGACAATCAAATTGGAGCTGCGAAAATTGGCTATGCCAAGCTACCCGAATGACATTCACGTGATACATAATTCGCCAAAAAAGTTACCTCTTCCGACGTCGGCGCAAAAATCGCTTTTTTTGGCGGGATCGTTGTATAAACTTCCCTGACTTTTTCCAGATTTTGACAAAAATACTTAAATTCCCTGACTTTTCCCTGAATATTTTGGTCAATTTTCGAATTCCCTGACTTTTCCCGGTTTTCCAGGTAGCGTGGCAACCCTGATTAAAAGAATATGTATCGGATGCCCTTAAATGTTTAATGAATTGATTGATTATAAATATTGATTGTAAACCTTTTTTCTTGCAAAACAATTATCGTACTTTTAACAGTTTAAATTCAAATACAAATAAACTATTAATAAGATCAGTAGGTTATTTAAAATATATTCCACACAATTCCCCTTAGCTTTCATTTATAAAAAAAAAAAATATCGAATGAAATAAACGCTGTTTCTCCTCACTGTACTGAAAGCCTGCAAGGTTGTTTGGCGTTAATTACCACGCCTACAAGGCGATAACTCGCCATTTCAAATATGACTGACAAGCAGATGTTTCATCCAATGAGAGCAGACTGTAGTAGAAATGGTCTGTAGGCTCTGTGAATATGCGAATGACACTCACATGATACACAATTCGCCAAAAAAGTTATCTCTTCTGACGTCGGCGCAAAAATCGCTTTTTTTGGCGGGATCATTGTATGAACTTCCCTGACTTTTCCAGATTTTGACAAAAATACTTAAATTCCCTGACTTTTCCCTGAATTTTTTGGTCAATTTTCGAATTCCCTGACTTTTTCCGGTTCTCCCGGTTTTCCAGATAGCGTGGCAACTCTGACATGCGTAAAGGTATTATGCGCATGTGTTGTGTTTACGCATGTGCAGAAAGTTTGTAGCTTTGACGTCCGGATTATAGATCATTTCGGATTATGGACGTCCGGATTAAAGACTTTTGACTATACCTCGCTCAATTCTGTACTGAATTAATATATCTGTATGTGCAAAATGCTTGTAGAAAGGCAATGACCATCACATCATTTTCCCTAACTGGTGTATCTTTGCAGTTGTTACACTTAAATATATTTACTAATATAAAATTCAAAACAAATATAATAATAATTTTCAAAAATATAAAAAGTGCATTAATTCTCTCAAAATCAAACGCATTAAAAAATAATTTTTAAAATTAATTAACATAACTTGGAAATCAGTCCCATTAAAAAAGTCCTGATCAGTAAGTCCAAGAATTTACAATCATATGGCTTACAGAAAGATGACCATTTAGAACTTGCAATAAAATTTTCCCTCTCCTCTAAGCATTTATTGTACCATGCACAAAGCTAAGAATGAATTTATAAAATAAACATACATCATTCACATTTGTAAAGGTAGCAGATACAGCAATAAATCGTAACCCTGGTTCAGTTCTCTGCTTGTTACGATACTTTAATGATAAGATGGCATGTATAGTTTTCATGCGACTCAGAGCAGCTTCCATAGTTGCGCCTCGCTCTTCTTCATTTAACAAGTGAATCTGAAAGAAAAGCTATATATTATTAAATGAATAAAGATAAATAATACTGCAATGCAAAACTGTGTGTAGAAGTGAGATGGCAATATGATTTGAAACTAATAACATGGATAAGTTATTTTAAAAAGGAATGAATTGATCAATGGTATCAAAATTTTACAATAAACCTTTTACAAAAATATTTAAAATATAACTGATTAATGAAAATACAGATTGAATCAAAAGCTTAAATATAATTAAAATTAAGAAAAAAATGACAACAATAATACACAGGACTCTGGTTATCTTCACTAGGTGAAACCATAAACCAATTCATTTAAACAAAAAATCTGGATAACTAGGTTGTCTAAAAAAAGGGACACCAGTCAAACTTTAGTAAGGCAGATCTGAAGTGACCAGGAAAAAAATTCTGTTAACCAAAAACTCAACTTATGAACTCTGCATTTTGACATTCAGTTCAACTCTTTGAAACAACAGGCCAATGTTGCCAGAAAATTTTGAGTTAAAGTAGCAAGAGAAGAATCAAAAAGTAGCATGTGACATCAGAGATCATGTGATTTTGCGACACACTGAGTATTTCATAGATTACAGATTCTAATTCAAGTTTTGGCCATTATTTAGAAATTGGTTCTGTTTAAAAATCTTGTATTTCTTTGATTTTTAAATCCTTTTAATTGTTTAGCTATTAGTCACATATTAATTATAATCATGAGGATGAATTTCAAACATATGGCACGCAGGCCACAAACCATTATGCAATCATTTTGGAAATAGATGGGGAAATGACTGAAAAATAAAACTTCATAAAAATCGGCAGTATTAATATAAAGGTGCATAACATTGTTTTATATTTGTTTTGCAATACTTTACCTTTTATTGCTATTATTCCTATGAATTTGGCTCATCTATAAATTACGCTATACAATCTGTGATCTTATGGTTCGAAGAAAAGTTTTTAAATTCCTCTTTACATAAAAGAGAAGCAGCTCAAATACAAATTTTACCATCTTTTCAGTTCCAATTTTTAAAATTTTTGTTGTTATTATTTTTAAATTTTAAAATTACTTGTTAATGTTTTAAACTATTATATATATATATAAAAGATGAAAAATATGTAAATCAAATAATTAAAACTGATAAATATATGTAAATCAAAATAATAATTTAAACTAGCAACAGCCTCTTAAATCCTACTCTAAAAATAGTAATTTCTTTTTCTGCACTGCATCATTTCTAGATCAATCTATCTCTTATGACTTGTGTAACTGTGACAATGTAGCTAATTCAGAACTTGAAGTCAAAATTTTGAGAGCTGAAAATTTCTTTAATAAGCAATTTAAGCATCCTCTTGGTGAGCTTGCATGTTGGATAATTATACACTTTTAATTTAGTTCTCTTCCAGTCAAGATGCTAGTTTGCTCAATTAGCCCCTGTCAGCTACTGTCCATTGTTCTAAAAATATAATCTGTATAAAATAGTGGGGTGCATAGTGCATCTATGACGATGTGCTTATGAGGATGTTAAGCTTCTCCGATTTATTTTAATGCAGAGAAAAATCGCCAATCAAAAGTTTGCAGCTATCCAACATGGAAGGTCACCAACATAAGGTTTTGGTTTAAGTTGCTTATTAAAAGAAAGTTTCAGTTCTCGAACTTTTAAGTTCAAGTTCCTAATAAGTTACATCATCAGTGCTATGCATGTCATATGAGATGGAGTGATCACAGTCCAGAAAAAAAGCATTACTATTTTTTAAATACACAGAAGGAATTAAGAGGCTATTACTAGTTTAAATTATAATTTTGATGTACATAATTTTTATCTTACATATTTATATATGTAAGACAGAAAACATGAAAGCATACTTTTAACTTAAATTTTGCAGTAGACACTTAATTTTTCATTTTAATTTGGGAATTTTCCCTTCTGTTCTAAAAATAGCAACTATTTATAATATATCAATTTAAACTGCATCACTTTTAAATTAATCTGCATTATAAGATCTTATGTAATGCTGTAATGCAGAGATCTTTTATCCAAGCACTAATAAGATTTCTATTGAGAACCAAAACATTTTGAATCTCTTTCTGATGCCTTTTTTTCCTGAATGTGTCTTTTTTTTCCTTGCTTGTTTCATATCTGTCAATTTGCTGCTAGCTTCTCTGTAGCATTCACTGCCTTATTATATGCTAAGCTTCCAAAATTGTCTGGTGCATACTGTGCCCATAATGATGTGAATCTATCACATCTACAGAACTGCATTAACCAGAAATAAAATGTGCTAAAATGATGGCTACATCTGTCTGTTCGTGTCCTCATTCTTTCTATGCATTAAAGTCTTTCCAAGTTATCACAATGCAATAAACAATTACCAGTCTATTACAAACTATCTCTAAATTTATTATATGTATATTAATTATTCTAAAAAATGTTCATTTTAAAAATTAAGCTGCATTTGGGAAAAAATATATTGTAGAAGAAATATAGTGAACATGTGCATTACTCATAACACAGCAGCTAGAATTTAATTTACACTTTAGAATCCTATGCATACATCACCGAAATATTAACCAAAGCAATCAATGAAACACATGAAAACACTAGTGACTAGTGTTCAAAACTGCACAAGGAGGTGCTGGTGGACTACGATTGCCAGTTACCAACTTTCACTTAACCATAAACAAATTATTACATAATTTGAATACGTATATTAATATTAACATATGCATATTTTATGCGATATTAGAAAAAATATTAAGCAGCAAAAAGTAGTAGAAGGAAATGATGAAGTAGTAGAAAATTTGTGAAATCAAATAGACATAAATTTTAATAACACATTTTAGTCAAAAAAAGCAATTTTACAACAAACATGAAGCTGACGACAATACCTTCATTGCACACATCTTGTAAACATATGAATCATGCTTCATCTATGATAGAATCTTCAGTCACGAAAATCATATGTGGTCAGAGTCTACATTTAATGCAATCTGCCCCACATAGTTATCAAATCAATTGGTGTGTAAATATGCAAGTTAGCATACTAGGTAAAAGCACTAGATCTTACCTACTGCTTCAACTCACTGGACACTCATTTTTTGTATTTCTTTAAGGTATATTGACTAATTTACCTAATGATGTATTTCCACTGTTCTACATGGTTCCAGCAAGATGGAACATGCATATATTTCAGCTCTTATACTAGTCTGTTGCCCAGACTGCTGGATTGGGCAAGGAGATCTGATTATGTACCCATCATGACTGCCAGACTTGAACCTTTGGATTTCTTTTTATGGAGCTATTTGAAGAAACTGACATGTTTCTTGAACTACTGTGTAGATGGATTGTGTTCAGTGAGCAATTTCATGGTGTACTCAAGTATGCCTTGGTATGTGCGATAATTTTTGGCATATTCTTGTGCATGTCATTCTACACAATGATTAGAGAATCTTATCCTGCACAATTTATGTGGGTTTGATGAGATACTCTGTATAATGTGTTTACTGATTACCAGCCTCTATGTGTGTCGAGAATAATCTCACTGACTTTCATGAACTTAAAAACCATCACAATACATCTCAATCACAGCTGGTGGAAAAGTTTCGATTCTGGTTTGGACTCTATGAGACTTGAAAAGAGGTGAAGAATGCTCTCGCCAGAAGCAGCAGATGATAAATATGTAATCTATAAAAATGAAATCCTGTAAATAGTAATTATGTAACCTGTCATTAATGTGACACTTTAATATATAAATAGTGTTTGCCAAAGTTTGTGGCCTACTTATGTGGATTACTTATTTTGCTTCCAGTTCAATGTACACGCAGAACAGTTATAGCTGGAAGAAAACATATGTCTAGTTTATGATATTTCTATTAAACTGAAGTAATAAGGAATCTATCTTTGAAGAAATTAAGAAATTAATTTTTTGATAATGTGATATTTGTCAACAAAGACAAATTGATAGATTTCTAATTTAATTCAAAGCACAATAGAAAAAAATTAATTTGATAGAAAGATGATGACTCACAAAGCAATGCCTAAACAGCTCCCTTTTTTTTTTTTTTTTTTTTTTTTTTTTTAAATAGTAGGTGAATAGCAAAGAACAGGGTAACCTTTTGTACTAAGATTATGTTGATGCTGATTATACACTTCAGCTAACTCCGACAGAAGTGTTAAGTAGGTTTACGAGGAGAAATTTAATAGAAATTATTTTCCATACCTCCAAAAAAGATTTAGTATATGATATTCTGAGGCTGCAAAATTACATTTAGTGCTGTTTGAATTAAGAACAACTGATTTGTTATACTAGCCCAGGAGGGTGCCAGAGCTTGTCGAGCCACACCTGGCAACAGTGCTTAATGGAGGCAATTTTTTTTTAATTTAGTGAAGCAACAAAATTAAAGGATGGCAACATCTTCAGAATAAAGAGAAAGGGGGCAGGATGCCAAATTTTGGTCACGGCAAATTTTTTTTAAGGAGGCACTTTGCAGCAGAATTTCAGATCCACAGACTCCAAACGGGTCATAAAATGTCTACTGCCAGCTCTGGCTAAACCTTAAGTATGTGTGGGAATTTATTTATTCAGGACTCAAATAAACCTTAAGCATGAGCAGGAACTAGGTGTAGGTAGAATAAATAACTAAGCTAATGTAATTCAAGCTTACCTTCATCAGCATGCAATACAGCAAGAAAAGCATTAGCAGAATAACATGTCTTTAGTTGCCAGTCTCATGATACATTGCCAATAGTATATAGTAGACACTATGAGTTTATAATTATAGCCACAAATTTAAAGATTATCAGACATTGCCCCCCAAAAAAACAATATTTTACAATTAATGGAATTTGTCAAGAAATGTGGAGTCGTGGTAATAAATGAAGATGTTCTAATAGAATATTTTCATTGCAATGATAACGCCCCAATCAATTAACGCACAGCAAAATCTGCAGTATGTTCTAGATCCAGAAATTTCTGTTACCAGTAATGAAGAAAGAGACAGAGACGT